GAAGGAGGGTCTCCCTATTTTTCTCCCTGTGTGTGGGCTGGGAGCTCCCTCATCAGCTGCCAAAAGGGCCCTGAAGAGGTTTGTCCTGAATTACTGATTTCTCTGTGGTCCACCTGCAGCCAGGGTCTGGGTGTGGGTGTGTCCCTGGGGAAGTCCTCAAGGGCCCTATGTCCAGCTACAGCATTGTGCCTCATGGTGTCGAGTTTCGGCCCAGAAGCTATTGTAATTTGCTAGTTTTTAAAGTAAAAGTAGAGGGAGGGATCCTGCTCTTGGAAATGCTGGCCATGGAGGCTTCCTGGAGGAGATTCCCTTCAGTTCTTTTCAGCCCTGAGTCTTCTGCTTTGGAAGGCAAAGGAGTCTTTTCCCCCCTTTGCCCTTGTCCTTTCAGCGGGGCCTGTGCGGAGACCTGGTCGGCTGGAGACACTTGTTCAAGCAGAGCGGTCTCTTGGATGCCTGCTGGATAGCTGTGGAGAAGAGAAGGGCTTCTTGAATGGATAGGTTGCCACCTCTGGGGGTGGTAGAGATCTGGGTCAGGAGGGGAGGGCCCCAAATCTGTCTGCACTAGGACAGGGCATCCTGATGGGCCACCAAGCTGTGCCAGAAATCCAGCCGCAGTGAGCCACCCTGGGTGGAGGGCTCAGGCAACCTGATGTGCCTCCAGGCAGGGCTGGCTGGGGTGCAGTCCTGGTTACCACAGTTAGCACTGCGGTGGGCTGCAGGGGAGGTGCTGCTCAGGCCCCTTTTCTGCGAGTGTGACGCGGTGCTGGCTCTTAATCTTCGCTTTACCAGAGGGGGCGTTGCACTCTATTCTGGTTGTTTATTGTTTGACTTGACAAAGAATTACTTAACTATTTACTGGTACTATTTTTCTGTTAGAGCAGACAGAGAGAGAACATGAAAGTAAGCCATGTGGTCCAGGACTTGAACTGCGGTCAGCCATGTGGGGGTCCAGCGCCTTGAACCACCACGCCAAGCCTACCAGTCCTGGGGCTGATGCCTGCCCCGCGCGTGTGTGTGGCCACGAGTGGCTGGCTGGTGATACAGATGAAGGACTAGTCTCCCCCCATTCCCAATAGTGAGAGGGGAAGGCCTGTGTGTTTCAGAAGGACACAGCACGGGCAGAGGATCCGGGGGAAGGAAGGATGGTCACCCTATTTTTCTACCTGTGTGTGGGCTGGGAGCTCCCTCATCAGCTGCCAAAAGGGCCCTGAAGAGGTTTGTCCTGAATCACTGATTTCTCTGGCCCACCTGCAGCCAGGGTCTGGGTGTGGCTGTGTCCCTGGGGAAGTCCTCAAGGGCCCTATGTCCAGCCACAGCACTGTGCCTCGTGGTGTCGAGTTTCGAGTTCCG